ACAATTAACCAGAGTCACATACACATATGAATACAAAATTATTGAAATAAATATTAGCATAAAAAAGAAGGGAAAACGTGTGAATACGGCTTAATTATTTTTATCGAAAACAAAATTACTCTCAAGGTATTCCTGAACCGAATAGAAGCAATGAACAAGCAGATAGGATTTTAACAGTTGTCAGCAGTCTATTGTACAGTGTATAATTCAAAGAATTACAAACATACTTTGACATCCTATACTATCATATATCCTATAAAATAAGCGAAGATGCAAGGTAGAGGCATAATTTTGTGGCTCAAAAAAGGGGGACATTTTGTGAACAAACCAAATAACTTTTGTTATATCTGTGGTGGTTATGTCTTAGTAACTTCATTTGTGAAAAATGTATACCACGCTTACTTTGGTGTACAAATTACCGACCAAGATAAGTTCTGGACTGCTCATATTGTTTGTTCCATTTGCGTTGAAGCATTAAAATACTGGAAAAAAGGTATTAAGAAATGGTTAAGCCTTGGTGTTCCTATGGTATGACGAGAACCCAAGAATCACAGTGATGATTTTTATTCTTGATAGTGTAATGGTCAAGGATTCAACAGAATAAATAGGAAACAATTTGTTTATCCCAATCTTGATGCTGCTATTCGACCAGTCCTCATGGACCAGCTGTATCGATACCTACCGCCCCAAAAGAACTAGAAAACGTCATATCGTCAGAATCAGAGGAATCTAATTCCGACACAGATGACTCAGATTTCAGAGAGCCCGAAGTGCTTAAACACAGCGAATTACATGATTTAATTAGAGATTTATACCTTCCAAAGGATGCATCCGAATTGTTAGCGTCCAGACTTCGCAACATTTACTGGCACCTGGCATCACATCAAGCTTTTACCGGGATTGCGAAAAATAGTTATGTCAATATTTTACTCAGAAAGGGCCGCCAGTGTATTGCAACAATATTCCCAACTTAGTTTCAAAATTAGGAAATGGGCCGTATATAAAAGAAGAATGGCCCCTTTTTATTGACTCAAGTAAGCCTAGTTTAAAAGGTGTTTTATTGCACAATGGTAACGAACTGACCTCGGTTGCCGTTACACATTCCGTATATTTAAAAAAAACGTAAGAAAATTCAGGACTTCTTTTGGAGAAAATACTCTACCAAGAACATTAATGGGTGCTTTTTGATGACCTTAAAATGCTGTGCAAGTTACTAGGACAACAGGGGTGTTATACAAAATTTCCATGCTTTATTTGTAAGTGGGATAGTCAGACAAGAGATAGACATTGGACTCAAATAGTTTTACTCCTCCTCTTCATATTAAACTTGCCTTGATGAGGCAGTTTATTAAAGCGCTAGACAAAAGTAGATACTCTTTTAAATATTTGTGCGAGAAATTTGCACCCATATTCGACGCCAAGATAAAAGAAGGTATTTTTGTTGGCCCTCAGATAAGAACATTATGCAAAGACAACGATTTTCAAAACATAATGACCAATGTCGAGATAAAACGCCTGGGTTTTATCTAAAGAAGTGTTTGGGAACCCTATGGACGAAAACTACGAAAGTATCGTTCAAAATATGTGACAACACTTTCATCGTCTAGGTTATAATATGAAACTATTTTTCTGGAAATCTTTTCGCAGTTAGCGAAGAACGGGGGGAGGGGTTTCATCAGGACATTAAGGAAATGGAAAGGCGATACCAAAGCAACAAAAAAAGTAAATTATTTTAGAAATATCGTTTTTTTTTTCATTAATGTTTGCAAAAAAAACTGATACAAATAAGTGCATGGAATTTTTGAAATCAGCCTACCAAAATTATATAAATCATCTGTCAAAAAGTTTAATTTCGTAGACCAGTGTAATTTGCAATTGCTAGGCACCTTTACTTAGTTAATTATTGAAAATTTAACTGGGCAACAACGTTGCGTCCATAAACGACATTATCCGATTAGAAAATCTTCGCCGACTCCGCTATTAATTGACAAGGTCACGTGGATGGTCGGATTAAAGCGTCGATCGGAGCAAAATTATTTCGCCGGCTCCGGGAAAATTTATTCATAAATTTGAATAACTTAATCTGGGGTCGTTTCGTATCTGTAAAAGCCACTCTCCGACTAATAAAATATATCGAGCGGGTTTTCAAAAGACACTGCCTTAGTTACTTTGCATCTAATTTGGTTCGAGTAAACAGCAGCTTCGATCGCTCCAAAAGGTGTATAGCCGCTCTACAAGACGAAATTGTTGCCTGGAGTAGCTAATATCTGGAGGTGAAGGCGCGTATCGGCAAGTAGGATTTGATTGTTTTATGTAATACTTATAAACAAATACGCAATACGCAAATATGCAAATACAAACAAAAAAGATTATATCCTTTCTTTAATATAGGGTGTTTTTCTTCGATGTATAGAACTTTAAGTTGGCATTACTGTTCAAGATGGCGACCGATTAAACAGCTGTCAAGTGATTTATTCTCAGTTTGGTTTGGCAATTCATCATGAATAGACTCACGCCTGAACAACGGAACGTTTTCGCACCACGTTTACTCTTATTGATAACTCGCATCCCCAAAGACGCCGCACAGTGCGTACAGAAGAAGCTGTTGCTGCTGTAGAGCGTAGCATTGAGAAAGACCCGAATTAGTTCATCCGGCATCTAGCACAGGAATTGGATCTGTGTCCATCCACTTTATGGAAGATTTTGAGGAAGGATTTTGGTTTCCGTGCTTACAAAATCCAACCCGTGCAAGAATTAAAGCCAAACGATCATCAAGTAAGGGGCAGATTCGTCGAAAGGGCCCAAAACGAGATTGCCGTTGTTCCCGATTTCCATAAGCGAATTTTGTTTAGCGATGAAGCGCCCTTCTGGTTGAATGGCTACGTTAACAAACAAAACTGCCGCATTTGGAGCGAAGCTAATCCTCAACTGTATGTCGAAACACCGTTACATCCAGAACAACCGACTGTTTGGTGCGCTTTATGGGCTGGTGGAATCATTGGTCCGTACTTCTTCAAAAACGATGATGGCCAGAACTTTACAGTCAATGGTGATCGGTATAAAGCTATGATTACTAACTCTTTCATTCCTGAATTGACGGCGCAACATGTCACACAGCTCGTGCCACAATCGATTTATTGAATGTGAATTGGCATCCAAAATCTTGTGATTTAACACCACTAGACTACTTTCTGTGGGGCTAGGTAAAGTCATTGGTCTGTGCGGATAAGCCACAAACGCTTGACCATTTGGAAAACAACGTTCGCCGTGTTATTGCCGATATACGGCCACAAATGTTGGAAAAAGTCATCGAAAATTGGACGTCCAGATTGGACTACATCCGCTCCAGCCGTGGCGGTCATATGCCAGAAATCATATTTAAAATGTAATGCCACAAGATTATCTTTTGCATAAATAAAATTCATGTCAATCGAATAATCCATGGTTGTCTTATTGCAACTTAAAGTTCTATACATCGAAAAAAAAAAACACCCCTTATAAGAGCACACCAAATTTGCCGTACACCTCTACACGGACCACTCAATATAACATCTTCTTCTTTTTCATGGCAAAATAAAACAACGTTATTTAAAATTAGTCTATATTGAGAGTTTAAATAAATTTTTTTTAAAAAATCGTACGATCCTCCATATTTTCAACATGTATCTGTGACGTTTTAATCACCAACCAGAGAGGAACAAAAAATATATAATTCGGAGCGAGTGTTGTGTAATCCAATTAATATGGCCTCATAGCCCTGATTAAAAAGGTTTTTTGACTCTTTACTGATACGACGAAGCAAAATGGGAATTAGTCCTGCGTTGCCGTATTTCATAATACAATCATTTTAAATTATAACAGAATCCGTGCAAAAAACTTGATGGAATATGTGATTTTGATGACGTATAAAATATACATTTTCAATTAACTTGACCATACTTTTTGGGCTGTCTGCAATCTCGGTGTTAATAACTTAACCTTAATTATTAGATAAATATCACAATACATCAAATTATGGAAAATACTAAAAACTCGTAACAGAAAATTCATATTTTTTTTTTAAAAATACCTAAGATATATCTAAGATATTATACTTGGAACAAAAAAAATTGGTAAGGAAGGGAATAGAAATAAATAAAAAATCTTTTGTTATGAGCTAAATATTTCTTACAAATGTAGTATGTGAGATTTTAATCGTTTTATACGTCAACGAACTTTTTTCGATTGTTCCATTTCAATTCTACCTAAGCATACATAAAAAGGTAGAAAACTTAATACATGCAAAGTGGTTAAGATATCATACTCTAAATGCGCTCTAGACAAACATTTCGCAAAAATTTGATTACCCTGCGTTACTAAAACTCAATACAACCCTAAAAGCTCAGCTAATGGCTCGTCTCCAAGTAGACAAATAAAGAACCTCATAAAAGCGCTCCCAGACGCGTTTATAGTGCAAGTCACATTTTAATGACATATTCGACATCATTAAAATGGCAAAAGGCCGAGGTTTGCTACATACGTATTCAAAGTAGCTTTGTCTATTGTACAGGGTGGGTCAAGTTCGATGTTTTATGGAAGTCGCTTATATTCCTAACAGAGATGGCCAAAATTTGTAAACTTGATGTTGATAGTGTAATTTTTGAGAGGAGAAGTTGAACATTCTGCATATATTTTTTTTAATTAGTTCATTCTGTACCTACACCTTTTTAATGATATGAAAACCGGCATCGTTCAAATACATTTCGAGCCCCGAAATTGTTATTACTTAAAACAAGTTCGAGGCAACTGTGATTGTTCCAGTTTTTAAGTCCATAAAATTTGAACGACTTTTTGATTACGACGTTGAGAATCGCGGAAGTATCTAAACTTTGTTGGCATGAATTTAGCGCCACTATAATTTTGATCCTTTTTCATGGACCGTCGTTTATCGCGACACTTTTTTGTTTTTCGTGGCAGCCTTTGAACTCAGATCGATTTTCTATAACTTGTTTTTTTTTCAGACATACCAAACTTCACTGGTCCCATAGCGAACGTAACAGTCCCGGTTGGGCGGGAGGCGGTGTTGGAATGCGGCGTTGACAACTTGTCCGCTTTCAAAGTAAGAAATTAGGATCGGTTTTCTTCTTTTCTTCTATCTTCACCTTCAAGATACCAATTTAGAAAAATGTTCATTAAAGTGTCCTCAGCCTTAAACTCTCTTAGTCAAAGTCAAAGACATATTCAATGAAACTCTTCTATGTAAAAAGTAAAAAGCAAAATTAAAGCCTGATGCGTGCGGGCAGTTGATAATTTAACCATTTGATAAAAACGAATGAAAAATAAAATAAATAATAAAAATATTGCAGCAAACATTTTAATATAACGCAGTAAAATATTTCAAGTTAATTCACCACTATCTCAAAGTGCCAAAGGTAGGAATTTTTGCAATATTTATTATTTTATTAAATATGTCATTCCTAATTATTAATTATTTTAATTTTTCCCAAATAAAGCCGCTATTATTATTGTTATTATTAAATGCACTAGTATTTTCTTACCACCATAACACTAACTTTAATTAACAAACGTTTTCAGTAACCAGATAATTCATTTAAGTATTTTTTTTTAATTGTATTATAATCAATCAACCTTAAAAATATATCCGAAAATCATTTTTTTCAATGTGGATATTGCTGAAGCATTGCTTGCAAGTTGTATGGATTTTTTATAAATTATAATTTTTTTTTTGTTTTTTTTCAATATGTACTTCCCGATTTTGTTTGCAGCAATTCCAAAATATTTTAAAGCCTTAAACAAAATAGTATATATACACCTAAGTGTTCGTCGGAACTCGCTTTTTGCAAGACAATATCTGTCGCGGCCGGTTTGGAGTGGAACCGGTGGAAAATAGAACATTAAGTGAAACCATTTCAATGGCTAGAAGAAAAGAAAATAGCACATGGCAGTTTTACATTAAAACAATAGATAAAAATAAATCTGGGGGTGTAGAGCGATTTGTAAAATTCACAAAAAAGAAATTTAAGGGTTAGTTCGAAGTTCAAAGACTTAACCATAATGTTTGTGGTAATAAGCGGCAAGAAACGAATACAAGTAAGTAAATAATTTTTTTATTATTATTACTTATTTAATTTTTATTTAAGTTTCCATCTCGTAAAAGATAGAGTTATGGAATTCACAAAAACGTTTTCAAAAGAATTAAAGCATTTATTATTTCAAAAATTTCATGTCCTTTTTCTCTTTTCTTACCAAAATTTGGATTGGTTAATGTTTATAATGTTTAGATACTTACTTATTTTTATTTTTTACGATATATTAAAAATGCATTACATATTCATATAGTATATTTTCTTTATCTTAGGAAAGATTCTACACGATTTTCGACACATTTAAGAAAAAAGTTAACCGTAAAAATTGAATAAAATACAATAATTGGATGCGTATTTGTTTTATTATTTACTAACAATTGTAGATATTTATAAATTATCTTTCTAATGTTTTTGTTTTCTTTTTACCCATGACAGTTCTGTAGATCTTGCTACTACATCGTCTGCCTCGAGTTCCTCAACACTCAAGACAGATTTGTCAAGCCTTTGGAAATCTCCGCAAAATCCAAAGAAGAAAAAGAAAAAAACTAAAAAACTAAAAATCAGCCTAATTTGAATTGTTTCGTAATATGAACATCAGCAGTTGAAAAAGAAAAGTTTGTCGACCAAATAGCAAAGGCAGTTTTTGCTACTAATTCGAGCTTTCGATGCATTGAAAACTCTGAAGTAATAAAAGAAATTGCGAACCAGCTACTAATTATACAAAAAATACGAAAAAATAATTATGCTATTAAGAGTCATTTCTCGCAAAACGAAATTACACTTTTCGCACTTCGTAAATAATTTTATTAGTCAATAATCAGAAAACACTACGAGATTTAAAAGTTATTTAAAAAAATTGAATTTCAATCTAAAATATTTTCAAAATTCTTAAAATTCAGATTCAAAACCACTCAATTGCTCATATATTTTCATAGCACTTTACACAAGTTAAAATAGAACAATTAAAATTAACAAAATATGAAATTAAATATTGCCAATAAATTGTCAAAAATATTTAACAACTACATCCATGTACCAATATTGGTCGTGATTTAAACTCAAGAAAAGAAATTATAGTCGTTTGATACTGTGCTGAGTTCTTAGAGAAAAATTTCCGTTGTCAAGGTAAAGATTCGTTTTAAATATTAATAAATGCTTAACTGGAGGAGTCCTTTTGTATTCTTTATTACCGCAAAACGAGAATCGTAAACGTTAGTTTCCCTTAATGAATTTCCTGCTTTGTACCCTTTTATCCACTTTTACAGGTGAATAACTTTTCTTTTTAAATTTCCCAACCCGTTTCTTTTTCCGACGATAACTGTCGCGAGTAAAAAACTCCCGCGTCGCTTCTTTAATTAGGCAAGTTCTAGTCGTTGTTAATTTTCGGGCGGCGCCGGAAAAGGTGAGAGGGAAACGTATTTCCCGGCTATACTAGTTTCGGGACGGGGTTTGAAATTTAAATAATCTCCAAGAATTGCCAGGAATTTAACGCCCGCCCGGCAGTTTAACAAAACGGTTTGCCGTCTCTTTCCAGAAATCTCTTGTTGCAATGGACCCCGATGGGAGGTCTAATGGGAAATTAATGCCGTCACCATTAAAGGTATGCCCACACACAATCCGGCAAATCTCACTGGCCTTAGGATTACCAGAACATATTTGCGAAAATATAGGGGCATTACTGCATTACGTTGTCCGATATTTAGTCTCCATTGTCTTCGGTCCTTTCATTGACCATGATCTAAGTTTCTCGAGGTCATCGCTCTGCCAGCTCCCTCATACCATGTTCTTTTTGAACGCCCTCTTTTTTTTTCGGTGGTGTGTTATCCAATTCATTGTTTGTTTAGTTAATCTGTAGTCGTTCATATGCTGTACAGAGCCGTACCAGATCAGTTGATTTCTTTCAATATCAGTTATGATTGTGTCTTAAAGTCCCATTTGTTCCGGAATACTTGCTTTTCAATTTACTTCTACATAAGGCAACACTTGCACGTGTATAGGCACATTCTTTTCCTTAGGGTTTTGACCACAAACAAAACAAATTTTTCACAAAAAAACGAAAAAGGTAAGGTTATTAGTATTCTCTGGCAATAGCAATTCCTACCTCGGCGTTGCCAATTGTATTCGGATTTCAGAGACTGATTTTGCGTTCTTATGAAAATGAGTCAATTTTTTCAAAAAAATTACGGCAAAGTGACAACTCAGAGATCCACACCTTCTCTACGAAAATATCGTAGCGGCGCGTCACTTTTATCTTATATCTTATCTTATATTATCTTATAGCTTTATGGTCGGAAAAATCATAACTATGCATGGCACGCGAATAGACAGGGTCATAACATTGAAACCCGTTTTCCATCTCCCCTTAAACACTTCCATTGATGACATCAACTAATTCAAAAATAAATCGAGCGGCAATAAAAGAAGGGGACCATATCGTCGATCAAATAACCGACTAAAGGGGGACGCCATCCCTAAACAAATACAAGCGACATCATCGTTTCAATTCTGGATATTCAATTCCGCGCCACAAATCAAATACTTGTCATCGTGTCTAATGTCTGTTGGGGATTATTAAGATTTATTTTACGTCCGGAGAGATTGCATCGTGGAGACGTGAAAACTGCCGCCACTGTTGGATAAATCTGGCGAATGCGAAGTTAAAATTGCTTTATCTCAGTTATTCTTCACAAATTTTTACTTTTGGTATACATGGGGTTTTATTATTTCTTTAAAATTACAGTCATATTGTTGTCCCAAAGTGCTTATTAAAGTTTTTTTTTTAATTGGAACTCCTTAGATCTTTTTGCATTTTTGGATTATACGGGCAAAATAAGTGTTTGTTTATAATACCTAAACCTCATTTTTCAAAATAATTTGAACTTTATCAAAATGTAACCTAAATTAAATTTCCTGAATTCTTGAGAAGTATTTTATTATAAAAACTGGTGGGTGTTCAATAATTGGCTCTATAAGTTCAATTAAAAGGTAAACCATATTTATTAAATTATCAAGGAATTTACTTCTTCATTTATTTTGATCACATCTTCCAGGATTAACTATCATATCAATGCTCTTTTTGTTAATCCAATTCCAATTTTAACAATTAACATAGGGCAATAAAAATGCCTTTCCCTTTAAATTAAATTCTTCATTAGAATTAGAATAAATTTTTGGACACTGTAAATTTCGCTTATATAACTTAAATAACTAAACTGGAGTGATTTGATATAGGTAATATTTTAACAAATATCAATTCATTTAAAAATTCTCGTCGAGACCGTAAATTATTTTTGACCTTAGAAACTTATAGTATCCAGGTTCCATTAAAAATAATACAACTTTCATGCATTTAAACCATTCAGGATAACCTGAAAGTAATTTTAAAAAGTAACCATACTCCAAAAGTGAAACTTTATAAAACCTTGTATTCTGACGTAAAACTTCAACGTCACAGTATTTTGCGATTTCTACTCCAGCATAGCAATGTCCATTAGATTTTCCATTACAATTTAGCCGTAAACGAGACAGAGAGGTAATTTATCTAGTAAAAGGATTCAAAGGATCAGAATTTCAATATTTCTGGAGTCAAAACGCGTGATGTTATCGTTATTCTCGTATAACGTATTCAGATACTAGAGAAGCTTCAGCGGTTCTTGTTTCTTGCTTTTTTGTTTAGCGAATCTAAAAAAATATGCTTTTTCTCAGGAATTTTTTACCAGAATGTATTTTTTTGCCTGCCATAGTAGTTACATGTGCAGCTTTCTCAGTACTAATTATTTATTTCCATTTTACTACTACACCTAAAATAAATGTAGAAAATTCAATTTGCTGGTTCGTAACATTTATTTGGCTTTAAATCACTCTTAAAACCTGTGAAAGTCGCCATCTAGGTTGAATATAATTGACCTAAAATTTGCCAGTAGATTTCGACATTTTCGGTTAGACTAGGAGTCGAAAAGCAACAAAAAAATTACAGCATATCAGTTTAAACCCTCTCAAAATTGCAATTAAGGCGGCAGACTTCTTGGGGTGTTACTTCGTCGCGCCGTATCAATTATCTCATCGAGCTCCTGCTGTCGTCATCGTTGGGGTCCGATTTAATCGGCGGGATTTCCCAAGAAGCGTCTGTGTACTGGTCTGGAAGGGGCACGCACAAATTGGATTTAATAAAGATCGATATGACTTCGAGCTTAGCAAAACACTCCGAAGCGTCTGAGTTAATTAAAAGTTAATTTCCTGGGTTGACGTATACGGAAAATACATCGCGTTCTTGACAGGATTTAGCCCAAACGCGTACGTCAATACTTCTGAACTATATAAACACTAGGGCTTTCCTTCTGACACATATATCTTGGTCCAAGAAAGTTCAATACCCTTCTGATACATTTATCTTACTTTAAGATAGGTAGAGAGAATAGAAACGTGTAATAGCTTCTTTCCTGAATGAGGATACTTGACATGCAAGCGCCGTCTCAGTGTGACTTCTTGGAGGAGAGAAGGAAGGAACTGAAGGACATACAAGAGAAGTGAAAAGCAGTTAACAATGAAAATATTAAACGTGTACCCTCAATCGATAAGATCTTAGCTCCAAAAAAGTAAGCGTTGTTCCCTTGCCTATTGTTTAAACAAATCTTTGCCATAACCTGCCAAATTTGATCTTCTTGTACCTTACGTGAGTTCCGCTAGACCCGCCTGTATTTTTATAGCCAAAACCTGGTTAAAGTCAGACAATTTATCGTTCCGATTGACCTATATTTTGACATGACAATTGTTTCGACAACACCGGGTCTTTATCAAAATATATAATTTCGTGAAAATCTGAACTTTTAGTTCTTATTTATTTCGATAAATGGATTTTCATCAAGTAAAAGCCTCCTCAGTTCAATGCTTGTATTTACGTTGCGGATCATGTTGCCGGTACATAGAGTTTCAAACTCTTAAATTTAATGATGTCATTTACTAGTACTGATTTTAGATTTTCATTTGCCTGTGTATGCAGATCCAGTGATGCTAATAACGATTCTAATCTTCAGCTCTCAAAGCTTCCCGAATGCAAAAGAAAGTTATACGCACAATACACGGATCAACACCTCTGGCACATTGTCGCCCTATCTTCAAAACGCTAAAAATCATGACACTTCCTAGTCTGTTCATTTACCGTGCACTGACCCACGTCCACGCTTTTGAAAGACATTCTGACAGACATGCATACAACACCAGACAGGCATATCTCATGGTACCATACTATTCCAGACTGACCACCTCGGCAAGGAATAAGCCTCGCACCGACTTGTTCAATGTTCTTCCTCAACATATCAGACAATTATCACAGTCTAAATTCTCCAGAGAAATTAAACTATTTCTTCTGGAGCATGCTTTTTACTCAATTACAAAATACGCCCTTTCGGCCAAACACGAATTTTAGATCAATATACGTTTTATTATCTACTATCGATATTTACGATTTCGGTTAAATTTTAGATTCCATCGTTTTTACACTTTATAATTTATGTATTGTACTTTTGTAGTCTATGTCTATTGTATATTTTGTCATATTGCTTTCACGCATGAAATTTTTGTATTGTTTATACGATTTATGTATCCACAACCACAATTTGTCAGCGTTAATCTTTCTTTTTTCTTTTGTACTACTGACGCGCCATTTGTTGTAAAGACTTTTTATGTAAAAAATGGCTATATAAATCTATCTATCTTATAATCCATGAAGAATGTTGTCACAAATTCCTTGACTCCCTTGATCTTCTACTTACGTCAGCCCCTAACTGATTTGCCAAATTGGAGCTTGATTCCCCAATAGGCAAATCCGTTGTTGTTCTTATTCATTATTATTTTGTATTCAAGCTTGATATTACTCTAAGCAAAATTATATGCAGAACAGATTTTACAAGGTTAGCTGTAGACCTCTCTCACGATTCATGGAACTGATAACGACGTTAATGACGAAAATAATCTACTTAATCGGCCCACAGCGTTCTAGTCTCACATCAGACAGCACGTATCGTCTAGAGTATCCCTCCTTTTAGTATTTGTATCATATTTTGCTAGAGTGTTTGCTGATGAATCCGCTAATCTACGGTCTCACTATGAATCTGCGAATATAAATTTCTTAGGAGACATTCACCAAGAGGACGTGAAAAAAAATCTTTTGAGCTGAATGAATATTCTGCTCCCGAACTTGATGGAATTTCCAGCAAAATTATGAAAACATGAGCCGTTGTGCTCGTGGAGCCTATTTATATTATTTTAAGATCTTTGGAATCTGGTACATTTCCGGCGCAGTGGTCATCGGGATGACCAGTTTTCATCTGACCTTCCTTTTGTGGTCTTAATTAATTATGAACGCCTACGTGGTCATTCCCTTAAGATAAAGAAGGAACAATTCAGAACATGACACCACCTGCATGTCATAAATAACTAAATAACAGAACATTGGAACAGTTTACGCGAAAATGTTATATATGCACCGCACTTGTCTATCTTTTAACGTCGCTTGGACAGTATTTTTACGTAACAGTATTAACTAAATACTGTAGGACATTCTCATGACACTGTCCAATGTGCATAATAGGTTCATTGTTCTTTGTAATAATAATAATAAAAATATATTTTTCACAAACATTTCTGGATTTTTTTCTTTCTGGTCATTTTACATTTAAATCAGATTCCTACTGACAAAATCCCCAATTTAAAATATTCTTATCGAATCAATACACCAAGTACACTATGATTATTCGATCCAACTGAAAACTAAAATCTCCTTATTTCTTTCTATTCAGGTTGCTTGGCTCAGAGTGGACACTCAGACGATTTTGACAATACACGGTCACGTGATCACCAAGAACCATCGAATCGCTGTTACGCACACGGAACACAGAACCTGGTACTTACACATACGTGACATCAGAGAGTCAGACAGGGGCTGGTATATGTGTCAGATCAACACCGACCCCATGAAAAGCCAAATTGGATATCTGAACGTAGTCGGTATGTATCCAAGTAATATTTATATTTACCATCCTCACATTTTACTACCATGCGTTGGTATTTTTGACATATTATAGCCATAATTGACGATTTTGCAATGTGGCAAAACAAATTCAAATATAACATGGAAGCAGAAAAAAAAACTTTTGTTGTGCAATCATCCCCATCGCATCCTGCGCATTCCACTTTTCATCGAACCCCGCTCTATAAATATATACGAAAAATCACAACGTCATCCCTGCGGAAATTCGCAGAGAGCGTTGTTGCAAAATAATCGCCCTTAGGAAAATTAATGATTTCCCAGCGAGAGGTATTCGCTTATGGGTTTTCATTTTTATCCACCGGAAAAATTAGGGAATATCGAGAGTTAGCAGCGGCATGCGGGATCGATATGGCATGCGCATCGACTGGGACTAGTAATTGAAAAGTTGGTTCACGTTGCACGCTTTTTGCCGGTTAAAAGGGATGTTTGACGTCAGTTACCAATCCCTAAAAAGAAAGGGCATAAGAAATTACCAATATGACGATTAATCCCTGGGGTGCTTAAATCTTCACTTTTCTGGCACTGTCACTGGTCAGATGTCCAGACTACATCCTAATTATCTCTTTGACTCTATATCACAATAAGGTGTCATCAGATTTGATAATAAATGAGAGGACAGTCTTCAAAATATGGTTAGGAACAAAATAATTTTTTTATTGAGCCACAATTTCACAGGTATTTCTTGAAAGAATTTGTAACAAATTCAACACGCATTTTATATAGCATGATATCTACTGACTAAATTTATTCAGTAACCGAAGTATTTTCAAAACTCAACATACAAGAAAATAATCAGCAATGGAATTTCATATACGTTCTTAGCATATGGTATTCACGTAATTAATGAATCATTTAATTTTTTGTGACACAGAAATCAAATCTAATAAAATACATTACATAACTTAACATTAAAAAAAATTTCAGTGCCACCCGATATCCTGGATTACCCGACCAGCACTGACATGGTAGTGCGAGAAGGGTCCAATGTCAGTCTGCGATGCGCCGCCACTGGTTCACCTGACCCATCGATAACATGGAGACGGGAGGGTGGGGAATCCATCGCCCTCGGCAGCGGACAAGAAGGTAGGTTTAGATTTACATCATATAGTAGAAACAATTCAAATAGTCCTTGAAGGTATTATAAAGTACAACATGGAACCTTGACATTTTACACCAAATGATTTATAGACAAGAAATCCTCTGTCCTTTATTAATTATCTTTGTCAGGTACACTTAATAGTATTTTTGTTACAGCTAAGTTAAATCGAAGCCATTGAACGTTTTGGGATAAATTGTTTTGACATTTGACGTTTCTCTCGATGATATTGAATGATATTTTGGAGAAGGTTTTTAACATTAATAATCGAGAAAGTATTGTAAAAACACAGAAAAAGATTTCAATTATTTATTATTTTATAAGCCTCCAGAAGAATACCTCTTTGTTGCACTTTTTATTGCCGTCAGGGCTAAATTTAGAGGTTTCGCCGTTGGATATAGCTTTTATTGCACGGCGCGACGATTTCAAGCGCTATTGCTTGCCGCAGGTATGAGGTGTGTTCATTTCGGTTCATTTCGGTTTTCATCAGAAGTTCTCAGGATAATCTTAGATTGTCAGACTCACCCCGGAGGGCAATGGACCACAGCTTCGTAATTTAAACAGAGTTACTTTCCACTCAACTCGAAGTGGTTTCCGGATAATCCAGTCGGAAAAGCGTCCGACCGATTTCCTGCAAGTTTTAATTGAAGGCAAATATTTTGACTCAACTACTTTGCGATTGAATCTGCCAAATTAAACACGTCACGCGAAATTGGTATTTTTGTTGCGATAGGTCGTCTCTCACTTATTTTAGATTTTAATGATCCACGCTGATGCCCGATACTTTGGGCTATAATAAAAGCTACATTTGTATATTGTGATCTCAGAAATTGTGGAAGATAGAAAAATGTTTAAATAGACATAATATTAGAAAAATTTGTTAACAATTCAAAGACACAGCGAGCAGTTCACTTTTTTTTTTCAAAAATCACAGTTTCTGGTGAAACTCTCAAAGTTCCTCACTTGAAAAGGTTAAAATTTAGAACTTTCAGTACGATTAACACTTTTACGTGTTTTCAAATTACACCTTTGCCATCTTAAAAACACAAGGCTCCCTGGAAGACTTCAAAGGAGGTCTCATCAAACATAAATCATTTCCCTCGTTGTGAGATAAAGCAACAACTAAAACTGTCAAAGAGCACAAGCCCTCATTTTTACAAAGAGGGATGCGGAACCAGCAACGGTTAAAGAAAAACAATCCTTTTCCCTTTAGAAGACTACCTCAATGCGAGGCATTCCGGTTCGTTTTTTTTTCCTTTACCTCAAAGACACACGAGGCGGAGTGAGGAAAATTAAAATTTGTTCGCTCTATCCCTACGGGGAGTGACGTTATTGAAGTTAAATTTATGCATTGCTCCGAGGCCAAAGTTTCGTATTGGTTTATCACCTACACTGCCCGTCTATCGATAGGGCATGTTAATGCAGGTTCATCGCCCGAGTAACATCGAGTAAACTACAGTTGCGAAAAAATGAGTTTTTAATTTTCTAAAAAAATGGAATCTTAGTGTACCTGTACTGTTGAGAAATTAATCCCATCATAATCAGGAGGTGAGAAATTCAGAAATTCTTGTTGTGTTTGCTACTGCTAGTCTTCCTCTTGTAGTAACGTACACTGACTTGAAATTGGTTATTACTAATGCCCATCTGCCTTTATTAACTGCCTTTCTGAACAATTCAGCTGACGTTTGTCTTGTCTTAAATTTTTGAACCATGATATGCGATATTCTGCGTTAGGACCATATTTCAAAAGCTGTTATTTTTTTGCAAGAGGTATTCATTAACGTTCATCTTTCGACGATGTAGAATAAAACGGAACATAGCATTCGAGGACTCGTGGCTTAGTCTGTATGTTTAAGTGGAGATTACAGAATATGTTTTTCATATGGTAAAAAACATTTCTTGCCTTCTCAAGACGAAGTCGAATTTCGTGCTAGTAATTCCAGTTGTTGTTGTTGTGTATGGCCCAGGTACGAGAAGTTTCGGTTAGTTTTGGTTAGTTGTAGAATTTCTCTTCTTATATTAAATTGTCAGTTTTGCATTAGGGGTTCTTTGTTAATAAGGCTTTCCGATCCTTCACAACAGCTCCTCCTTCGACGTCATGGCGCTCTTCTCTAAATAGGTGGTCTGAGTTTATCCTTGACGGACTCCTCTCTATGTACAATTTTGACATCTTTTTGCCTACCGTATAAATGTGCCATTATTCTAAGGCTGCGTATTCTGGTTGTTTTAAGAATATCAATAAGTTATGTGTGCTTAACTCCATCAAAAGCCCTTTTCAAAGTCCAATAAACTGTAATAAACATATATCCGTTCCTTAATGAGATAGACTTCCAAAACATGATTCGTCAAACTGATAATCCTATGATACTCACATTTTTTTGCAGATACTTTATTTGCTATGGTAATAAACACTGAGATCATCCATTCGTTTGTAATAAATCCAGTTTCATATATTTTCTTAAAGAAATTGTGGAGAGTGTATCTAGCATTTTTCTCTAGTAATTTAATTATTTCTCCATGTATTCTGTCGAAGCTTGGAGTTTTATTATTTTTTATTCTTTGAATGGCTTTTATTATCTCGTTTCTGTTGCTATTTCTTCAAGTCTTATTTATTTATTTGTAAGACAGGCTATTCATTACCGAATATCCAATTATAAGGTAGCACAATTTAACTAGTGTATAAAATAACAGTATCGGAATACAAACCTAACATAACGAACCAAGGAAATAAGGCTTAATTTTACGATGTTATTACCCTCAACTGCCAACCTCAAAATGTCCATCCAAAATATCAAAATTTGCGTGCTCACTGATTATAATGTTATAAGATCTATAGCAACAAATAAATTGATCTACATATATCCACAACAAAAATATCTCTACTACGAAGCATGACAGGTCTGCAATTTACTGAGAAAAACTGTACAATCTCATCACAGTCTACTGGATTGTTCAGACATTTAAACACAAAACAAATGTCCGTATAGGTCTCTAATAGGTGCAAATTATAAAACTGTAAATTGGCGTCGTAATCCCGTTTGTCGTGGGCACTATTAAAATTCAAAAAGTTGGTCATTTCTAATTCTAAATAAATTCCCCAGCCTTTAATGGTATTAACAAAACATATGAAAGCAAATCAATGAATAGATCTTTGAGAAAATAATTGAGTTGCACTTTTACATTACACAGTACATTTTGTGTTTCGAGAAGTAAAAACAATTACTTATATCGTATATGAAAATTGAAAAAAGCAATGGGGAAATGAACACGCGACTGGAGAAATAAGCATTCAAGGTCACACAAAAGTGATCAGTGCACACCGAAAGCGTCTAATTTCTTAAGCCGAATTGGATGGTGAACTTTGTCGAACACTTTTAAAAAAAGAACAGCTCTTGAGTTAGAATTGATTCGAAGATATTAACAAAATGACCCAAAAGAGAAATCGGTCTACAAGTAAGTACTGAACTTCTATCCCCTGACTTGAAAATTGGGGTAATCTGAGCACGCTTCCATCTTTCTGGATACACTCCGCAAGGATGTATTATACCACAGATACAGTGAATATTTTATAGATTCCCACACATTTTTGATAAAGTTCTCAGATATGCCGTCAGGATTCGAGCTTTTTTGATTATTAAGATTTAACAATGCAGTTTTTATCTGCTTTCTTGTGATGTAGCTTATGGCAATATTTGACTCCAACTTCTCTCCTTTCGTCTACTGATGGTAGAGTTCTGTTATCGTACACGCTACCAAATTATTAGAATACATTATAGTTATTTTTCTTATTGCTAGAAACAAAACACCAAAAATAATTCATCTCACTCCTGAAACCATTTTTGGTTTTGTAAACCTAAGCTTTATAATCACGTTGTTTATTTTTCTGAGCAATTCAGAAATGCGGTGATATCCAACGGAGTTTTTGTATTTCTTCCATCTTTCAACAGCTTTGTTTTTTCTTATTCCCAACTATCTCCCTTGAGAACCACGCCTTATAAGTCCCTTTTGATATTTGTTTAGACGGAACAAGAAACTTCCACAAGCTACTGTAAAGCTATTTCTTCTGGATTTTTCCTGCATCGATCTTTTCATAAATCAAAATTGCTGACATTTCACCAGAGTTTAACTGAAGATTTGTAAATGGAACAAACCTTATTATACATACATGCATTTAGCACTCCAAGCTGTTCAGAAATTCGTTAATAGCCCCATAGTTGGCATTATGAAATATTAACTCAATAAAGGAAGATTTTTTCAGAAACCTCTAACTTTTCATTGTTATTAGTACCTCAGTTATTCACCCACCAACAAAAACTTATCATTTTTGTTAGAGTGAATTGTATTGCCTATTCTATCAAAAAAATATTCAAAGTTAAGTGTCACCTATAGCCACATACTCAATAAACCGGTCTCTGCATCACACTCTCCAACCAGGTCTCGGTGACACAAAAAATATCGACTTCCAATGAACACACTGTTTGGTAAAATTCACTAGTTTTTATTTTTACACCAGTAGTATTCTGTTAATACAAACTGAGAGAAAAGTTTGTTTCAAAACAGGAAAGCTACGCTGTCTACTCCGACTGGGCCTGGGCAGTCTGTTTACTAAGCACCATATCATTGGAGATAAAAATAGCTTTGCTACTTGCTACCTAATGTTAAAATAAAATTCTATGATACAATTTTGTTTTAACCAAAAAAGTACCATGTGTACAGTACAGTATCTTTGTTTCCTCATTTATTTTTTTTGAGTGTGTTGCTAATAGCCAAAATCAAGCTCAGTATTAGATTAGCATCACACGGTTCATTTCTTTAGGGATTTTTTTGACCTTGTAATTGTTCGTCAAAAGTTTAACTTTTATCTTTAATATGTTACTGTTATATATTTTATATTGTTCTCTAAACATGTCTATTTCCGTACGGGTAAAATCGACTCTCTTCTTTACACAGCCATAAAACTATCTCAGTCCGAGTCACTGGACCCAGA